TAATTATATGTAATATTAAATACTGAATTTATTTTTTATATTTCACAGTCATTATTCCTAATAAAAAAAACTCCAGGTTTCCATTCTATTTTAACACCAACTATTTGGTGCTGCTTACTGTCACTTGATACAAAGACTTCCTTGGGAATCATTCTAATGGATTTTGGTTGGAACTTTTGAATAGGCAGGTACAATGTGTTGGCAGGTTGATGTGTATTCCACAGGAAGGATACAGGGAGCATACATGCACACTAGATATGATACATCCACACAATGTCACCCTCCCTTCCCACTAAAAGAAATTTAAATGTGAATCTTTGCTACTGGACACTTAGGACTATAGAAACAAATGTATATTCTCCAGAGAAACTTAAATGAGAGAATAAATTAATTATACATGCAGAGTTTATATAAGATGCAAAATCTAGTACTTTTTGCCACCACATGGCATACTTTATATTTTGTGAAGTATGCAGTTTCAGCCTTGTTTTTTTGGTGTACAGAGTAGATAAGGCCCAAATCTGGCTTTTAAGGATTATCTTTTTTTTTTAATGAATGCTGTTATTCAAAGAGCATATATTATCCTCTTTTCCAATTTCCTCATTCCAAGTTAAGTGGATAGATATCCCGTACTTGACTTTCCATTCTCCTCTCTTGCAGTTTTGTTAGCTAATTCCTCCCAAGGCTCCAAAAATAGGCTGGAAGAGAAATTCAGCGCCTGTGGCTTTTCTCGAAATTATGCCAGTGAAAAAAGCATTGTCTGTTAATTTGCAGCCTGCCACATTTAGATCAAAGTACTGGGTAGCTTTTATTTGCCTAAGCATTGTGAGCAAGAGCATCTGTGGCTTTTTATAATGTCAGTTGAGTTTTGTGAGGAAATGTTTCCCAAGGCTCAGACTGTTTATTTTTCAGGTTGGCCTAGGGAGGAATTTTTAACATTCTGCAGTAAATTAAATGGGATATGTTGTGTGAATGCAATCTATATCTCAAGATCTGATAACAAAGATGCTCCATGCTGCTCTTCTCCTTTCTTTCTGCCCATTTGACTTCCTGTTTTCCCCCTTCTGTTCCTGAGCATCCTGAGAATTGCAATCCACAGAAATAGGCCAATGAACAGAACTGTAAAATATGCAGTTGGGACAGAAAGCTGTCCATCAAAAAAAAATAAGGAAGACAGATGTTTGGATGTAAGAATGTTTTCTGATAGTTCAATTCGTCATTTCATTATAGTTCCACAAACCCCGTTTTCCAGCGTGGTTTCACCCCACTTGCCTTAAAGTTAGCTTATTCTCATTTAAATCATTGTTACGTTTCCAGCAACTAAAGTGTGGTCTGTTCCATACAGATTTTTCTACTAGTGGCATAGCCAATTACTGTTCACAATGATAATTAATACCAGTCCGTTGTGGTTCCATCCCGCTTTTTAAAAACGCACAAGCATTTTAAGTAAACTTGAAAAGATTTAAAATGAGAATGGTCGCATCTTGTGAAATCAGCTTGCTGTACCTTAAAAGGAGCACCTGTTTATTTTGCAGAGTTAGAAACCAGGCGTGGGAGTTCTGAGTGACCTTGGGCCAGGCAGCCCCTCTCAACCCAACTCACCTCACCTCACGGGGGTTTGGTTGTGGGGAAAATAGAGGGGGAAAGCGTCAGATACGTTCCCCTCCCTCGAGTTATTTATAAAAGCAATAAAGGCAGGTTAAAAAAATCTTTAAAAAAAAGATTTTATACCACTTAGCCATTAGAGTGCTTGTCTTGTAAATATAGAAGCACAGCTTTTTTCCTGAGCAACACAGCATTGCACGAGATGGATATAAAATACTTATGCACGGAGTCACCACACATCATTGAGACAGAGTTTTATTATTAACAGGCAACAAGCTGGGCATTCTTTGTACCTCCTGAAAATGCCAGCGAAGGAGGCCGTGAAGTCAGGCACGAAGTGGAATGTCAACAAGGGAAAGTGCTTGGTTTCCTAACAAACCCTCGTGGCTTTTGTTCTTTCTCAATGTTTACCAAGCAGGGTCCTGGGTAGAACTGCACTTCAGCAGCAATGGGAGCGGCGGCGGTGGGCAGCCGGCCAGCCAGGAGCAAGTTCCTGCTTCGGTTTCTATTTATAACGGTGACATGGAGAAGATCCTTCTGGACGCCCAGCATGAGTCTGGAAGAAGCAGCTCGCGAGAGAGCTCTCACTGCGACAGGTACTCCGAACACAGCCTGCTCACAATGCATCCTCTCTTCTTTCGGCTGAAGGCACAGGTAGTCCTCCACCTACGGCCATTATTGAGCCCAAAATTTAAACTCGTTAAATGAGTTTTGAGACCTTTCTTGCCACCGTTGTTAAGTGAATCCCTGCAGCTGCTAAGTTAGTAACACCGTTGTTAAGTGAATCTAGCAATTGACTTTGCTTGCCAGAAGGTTGCCAAACGGTGGTCACGTGACCTCCAGGACACTGCGACCGTCATAAATGCGAGTCAGTTGCCAAGTGTCTGGATTCTGGTCATGTGAACCCTAGGGATGCTGCATTTGCCCTAAGTGTGAAAAACAGCCATAAGTCACTTTTCCCAGTGCTGTTGTAACTTTGAACGGTCATTAAATGAACTGTTGTAAGTTGAGGACTACCTTAACCTTCTGGCTAACCTCTAGAGCAGTGTTTCTCAACCTTGGCAACTTGAAGATGTCCGGACTTCAACTCCCAGAATTCCCCAGCCAGCATTCGCTGGCTGGGGAATTCTGGGAGTTGAGGTCCAGACATCTTCAAGTTGCCAAGGTTGAGAAACACTGAGTTAAGGGAATCACTGAAGTTGTTAAGTTAGTAACATGGTTGTTAAGTGAATCTCGCTTCCCCATCGACTTTGCTTGTCAGAAGTTCACAGAAGGTGATCACCACACTGCAACCATCACAAAAAATAGGAGTCCATTGTCTGTTTTTAACTTAACATCTTCAAGTTGCCAAGGTTGAGAAACACTGCTCTAGATATTTCAATTGTGTTTTTACCAGTCATAGGCAATGCTTCTCCATGAGTGTCATCAAGGATAATGGGAGTTGTAGTTGTAGGGAAGTGAATGTATGGCCTGAGGTTCTGCTCGGCCTCTTTAGGTCCTTGAAAGCCGTGGGGTCTTAATTTAAGCAAGGCCAACTTTTGCTTTGATTTGCCTGGGGGGGAAAGTCTTCTAAATGGCTCTATTACAAGTCTGGTCAGGGGGATGATGAAATGGCCCCTGGTCTTGCAGCTGATGCCCTTCCTCCTGATTGGAGGCCAGGTTATCTTGCCCACTTTTCCCTTTTTAGGTTCAACGTTTTATTTAAACAAAACTGGGGTCGCTTATTAAGTGAGAGGTTCCAAAGCTAACAAGGGACACGGCTGCGGAGAACGAAGGGATATTGTGAAACTAAGCAAATGTTAGATTGGGGCTGTCTGCCTCTTTGGGACCAGCTCCAGACCTGATTACATTGGGGATGTTGTTGGCTTTTGAGAAAAACTTTAAATAAAGCTTCTTTTGGGAAACTTTTGTCAGCGTTCAGAGGAATTTGAGTCTTGCTCCATTTCCTGAGCTACAACCAGTTTTTACTCTCATCTTGATCCCCATCAAAGAGGGGGCTAGGTATTGGCTGGGACTAATCTGCCTCCACCTCAGTCCAGCCCATAAACTATGGGCACGCTTATCGGGGGGGGGGGGGGAATGCCAAGTTGCAAAACTTCTCCCTATAAGCTCTCATTTTGCCTTCACAACTGCTAGGGAATGTTAAGCATAACAGAGGGACGGTAGTACAATGGTTAAGAAGCCTTTGGAGGTTTCCTATATTTTTCTTTATACTTTAATACTTTATACTTCCATCATAGCAAGTTGCATGCTTGCCAGCTGGCCTTCACACATGCCAGAGCCCCGTGAACCCCCAAGACCAGCTGGCTGGTGTTTGTGCGCATGCTGGTCACCTGGTCTTTGGATTTCCGGTGCTCTGGCGCATGGGAAAACCACCTGGCCAGCACACATGCATGTACCAGAAACCAGGTAGCCGGAGTGCGCATGCACACTGGCCAGCTGTTCTTTAAGTTTCCAGGGCTCTGGCACACAGGTGTGCAAGCACACACAGACATTCCGGTTTGGGGACTCGGTGCCAAAACGGTTCGCCATCCCTGATCTAAAGTGTAGCCTGTCAGTCATGAGTTGCTTTTGGTGCCTTTCTGGCCACATAAAAGCGCTTGAAATAAATTAACAAAAAGAGGAAGCCTGGATAAACAACTCTTTGCATTCCAAAGCTTGTGAGTAGAAGCGTAGATTTAACCACATAACCACTATAAACAGTAGTGGTGATGTACCTGCCCACTTATCTGCCATGGGGCAAGATACTTATCCATGGTTAATTGGACTCTGGTGTAAGTTAATTGGGTGCAGAGGGATTGCTCAACACCCAGGACCATAAAATAACCCAGGGATTGAATTTCCACAGTGCGTTACGTTTAAAGGTGATTAGCTGGTTTGTGTGTTTTGCAAACACAGCCGCAAAAAGATGGAGCTATTCAGGATTAGAGAACTGGACCAGACTAAACTTAACAGAAGTGCCTTTTTATATATTAAAAGTTACATGTAAATTAAAATGCATTTCAAGTCAAAACAGGATTATTTTGTAATAGGGACTGATAATTGTGAAGGGAAAGCTTAAGCCTTTTCTATGTAGTATGATGAAAGTAGGAGCTACCTATTCTCAATTGACACGATGAGGGATTCCAGGAAAAATTAAGTACTAATTATTATTATTTTTTGCATTTTAGATGACTTTATTTATGAAAGAAATAAGCAATTACCAAACCACTTGTGGTATTTGCTCAATCAGACTCCCTTTGTATAAGTTGAACACACTAAAGATTTGGGGGAAAAACTACTGCTTTTTCACAAAATCAGAATTGCTACCCATTTACCTTGGGAAGATGTCCCTTTAAAAAAATAAATCTGTCCCTTTTACCAAGATGCTCCAGAATACATAACATCCTTATTCCTATTACTGTTCTTATCACAATAAAAAGGCAGGTTAGACTGCAAGGTCTTAGGCAGCCTTGTAAACTTTATTGGGATGTGAAGTTATCTTGTCCTGGTAAAACATGAATCAGTCAATCTTGTTTCTTGGTTATTTTCATTTTTCCTCCTCCTCCCCCCAAGCCCACCACGTTCCCAGACCCCTCAGGATGTTCACAGAACTTCCGAAGCGGAGAGTCGTGCCAGCGGAGAAAAGAACAGTTCTCAGGTAAAGTCTAAATAAAAATGGATTTTGGTGTGTGTCGTGATGTTCTTTAAGAGAGGAAAATCCCTTCTTCCTGGGAGATTGTATTTTCTGCAGAGTCTCATTTACAGCTGGGAAATGTGCTTGGTAGTTTTTAGCAGACCCATTTCAGTTTTGGCACACAGTTTGGAAAATCACTGCCTGAACGACACAGTCATATTGGAAACTATCTACACACTGATGCTACTTGGAGGGAAATGCAGCTGCTGGAATTTTGTTTGCTCCAAGCACGGAACTCCGGCTTAGCAAAATTTGCTTTCGATACCCTGTGAGCTTCTCTGCAGCGTTTCTGTTCCTATGAGAGATCCAGTTAGCTCGCATGTAGGAAGCCAACTGATCCTCTTTAACAAGGAATCTTTCATGCTGGAAAAACTTTCCATTTGTGAGGTGGCTTTGTCATTATTTGGCTATTTCTCAGTTGTGACTAGTTTACCTTATTCAGACACCAGAGAATCTCTCTTGTCAAGATCTGGCCTCATCTGTCCTCAGACTTGGTTGAATTAGCTTTGCTTGATTTGAATTTTATAGAGCAGTAGAGTATTGTCAGATTGGGAAATCAGGCTTCCAAGTTCATGATGATTTAACATCAGATATAAAATGTGAGCTCATCGTATGGATGAGAAGGTCTGTATAGATAAGAGAAAGATATTAGATAGATGATAGAAGATAGCAATAGCACTTAGACTTATATATTGCTTTACAGCCTCTCTAAGCAGTTTACAGAGTCAGCCTCTTGCCCCCAACAATCCAGGTCCTCATTTTACCCACCTCGGAAGGATGGAAGGCTGAGTCAACCTTGAGCCTGGTGAGATTTGAACCGCTGAACTGCTGGCAGCCGGTGATGAGCAGAAATAGCCTTCAGTACTGCACTCCAACCACTGCGCCACCGTGTCTCTTAGGTAGATGATAGAAAGTGATAAATAGATGATAGAAAGACAGATGATAGATCAATAGACTGATAGATGATGCTGTAGATCAGGGCTGTCAAACTCCCAGCCTGCAGGCTGGATGCGCCATGCACTGGCCACGCCCACTCCCGGTTTAGCGAAGGAGAAAAAAGTCCTGATACATCACGTGATGCAGCTGTGACAATGTACATATGACCCCCTTGCAGTAGATAGATGATAGATAGATGATATAGAAGATAGATGATATTATAGACCAGTGGTCTCCAACCTTGGCCACTTTAAGACCTGTGGACTTCAACTCCCAGAATTCCCCAGCCAGCATCCGCTGGCTGAGGAACTCTGGGAGTTGAAGTCCACAGGTCTTAAAGTGGCCAAGGTTGGAGACCACTGTTATAGACAGACAGACAGGATGGGTGGATGGATGGATTCATGCGGCGCACTCTTTATTATTTATTTGTGGCTTCTCCAGCTGCATCTCTTTTGAGACTTTGTGCCTGTTTAATACCTTCTTTATTCAAACCGTGTACTTGTATTTCTACTATGAAACTCTAGGAAAAGCCACACCACCTTTAAGGAACAGCCAAATGGTTGTCTATCCTGGATCCAAAGTCCCCTTCTCCACTTATAGACCTCTGTTCTGAGAAGGGAGCCAGCTCACTTGATTCTACCTATCTTCGTTTTAGTCTGAGGAAGATTTTCTGGAAAGGAGGAGAGAAGTTGAACGGCTCTTGAAGAAAAATTCAGATTGGATGTGGGACTGGTCGAGCAGGCCGGAGAATATTCCCCCCAAGTGAGTGACCTTGATAATGGACAATGCAGATTTCTTTCTTTCCATTATGATAAATATATAAATGGGACCGCAAACAGTTATGGATTAAAAATGTTTTTGTCTTCTCCTAAACCAGGGAATTTCTCTTTAAACACCCTAAGCGCGCAGGTACACTCAGCATGAGGAACACAAGCGTCATGAAGAAGGGAGGCATATTTTCTGCAGAATTCTTGAAGATTTTCTTGCCATCTCTGCTGCTCTCCCATCTGCTCGCCATTGGATTAGGGTAAGGATTCACTCAGGTCCTCTATTCTGACAGCCAGAAATCTTGCGGGCTGTATCAGCAACACCTCATGGACTCCTCATAGGACTCTCCGAGAGAGGGAGAGGCCACCGCTCACTAGCACAACACGTTACTTTGATGTTACAAAAGATGCGGTGTTCACTCCGTGACCATTCCAGGTAGGAGTGAAAAAGCTGCTGCTCACAATCCTGGAAAGCTCGAAGCCAAGAGGTCATTTGGGAACTCAGTCACTAAAATTCCGTAGTTTACAGAGTGGACCAAAAGAGGGGAATCCAGTTTAGGATTCCATGGTTGGTAGTCCAGATGTTGCTGAAATGCAACTTCGAGCATCCACAGGAAGCCAAATTGATGATGAAGGAGGCTGGGAATTGTACTCAACCTCTGAACGGCATCAGGTGCCTGCTTCTGAGTAGACCACATGTTGGTATTATAATTTTGCAGCATATTGCCTTCCCCTTTTTTAAGAAGTATTTTATAAAGCACCCTGCTTTTATAAGTGTTAATGTGCAGAAAATATTTAGCTGGCAGCTAATCCATACCCTGCTTTGCATATGTACTCCATATGTACAAGTAGTTTTAAGTCCTAAAAACCTAACTACATGATAGCTTCAAGTGTGTTGAGAATCCACTCAGAGTCTTCCTAGTGACTCCTCTCAGATATCAACCACATCATTTTCTGCATTGTACAACTTCACAGGTGTGTCTGTTATTGTTCATAAGACCAAATCATTGGGGTTTTTTTCCCCATTTCACTGTTGCAGTTTTGCAAACAGTGGTTATTACTCAAAAATCCACAGGTTTATGAAACAATCTAATTTGTTATATAATTAAACTACAGGTTAATGGAATGATCCTGTGATAGATAGATTATAGAGATGAATGTGAAATCAGTGGAAAACATGTTTCAGTACAAGTAATCCTCGACTTACAACCATAATTGCACCTTATAGTAAGTCATGCAGGTCGCTGAGCGGGTCACCATGTGACTGACCATGCCTGCTTTTGTGATCTTTTTTGCTACGGTTGTTAAACAGACATCACAATCACTAACAAATGCGAGGCTTGTTAAGCAAACCCATTGCACCGAAGGGGCATTTATTTTCTGGAAACACAAAGAAATGCTTGTTTCTGCTAAAAACCATACATTGCAGGGATGTGACCACTAGGCACTGCAAATGGCTGCAAAGGCAGGCCAGGAGCCCAGCATCCAAAATGGGATGATGTGACTGAGGCCATCAGAACTTCTCAACCAAGTCACGTGTACCTTTTGGGGGGGATCTATCATCACTAAGTGACCAGTCATAAGTCAAGGAATACCTTTAGTGTTATCTGGGCTGATATGGATTCTAATGTATGTCAAGAAAATGTTTGAACAATTACATTCGAAAATAACATCTAGATCAGTGTTTCTCAACCTTGGCAACTTGAAGATGTCCGGACTTCAACTCCCAGAATTCCCCAGCCAGCATCCGCTGGCTGGGGAATTCTGGGAGTTGAAGTCCGGACATCTTCAAGTTGCCAAGGTTGAGAAACACTGATCTAGAGTCTGGGAATGCCAGTTGAAATTCTGATAGTTGAAATCCACACATCTTAAAGCCACCAAAATTGAAAAAAACACTGATGTAGTCCACTTTTGAGTGATTTGTGCCTGATAAACTAACTTACATTCATGAGAAAAGAGGTGAGGTTGAAAATGCAGTTCAAATTCAGCAGAAATTCTTACTGGCTGTTTTTGTGTTTCAGGATCTACATTGGGAAACGGCTGACAATCACAGCTTCCAGCAGCTCCTTGTAAAACGAAATGAATTCATCTCTTTTGCAAATCACGACAAACTTCATCCAGGCATTATAAAGTGGTGAACCGAACAGAAGAAACCTCCAAATGTATAATCATAATATGACAATGTATGTTTTGTTGCGTAAAGGGATCTTGCAAAAGAAAAGGAAGATTACCCAATTACCCCAACTGCTCTTATATATAAATTCTGATTTGCACAATTTAATATAGCGTAGCTTAGATCAGGAGTGAGGAACCAAAACTTCCAGGAAGCTCCAACTTTGGGCCAGTCGCAAAGGACGTTGGGGAGATGATGTTCAGCATGTGCAGCGGCCCACATTTCATTATCCCTGCTTGACAATTTTTCTTCGTTGCTATTATTGCAAACAAAAAAAAACCGAAAATATTCTGTGAACTGTGAACATCTGGGAAGGGATCCATGTACAATTTGTTTTTGTCCAGTTTTGAAAAGATTCGTAATGATTAGTTGTGGAAAAGACACCACTTTTTTTTTTTGTTTGAAAGAAAGCTATGGTCAACAAAAGTAGAATGGCCTTAAATTTCTTAAGAATACGTTTTTGCTATTTGAGATGAAATGAATTACTGAGATGCTTTGAAATATAAAAATGAATCAGTAGAGTGTTTTGATATATGTATGTCTTAATATGGAACCTTTTCTTTCTCTTTCCAGCAAAAGTTTGTATGCAGCTGTTGAGACAACGGTTTTAGTAATACATAATCTGATTTTTCTCAAAGTCAGAAAACTTGTAAGAAAGGAATTTCTTCCAAGAAGCTCCTTGTGGGAAAATAGCATTAAGCCATTCCATTTTCCCCTCTGACTGGTGAATAGAAATCTCTCATCTCTGACTTGCAAGGCATTGCTTCATGTCCTAGGACATCCCCAGTGAGTCATAGTGGGTCTGCCTTTTTAATCACAAACGCTGCAGCTGTTGGCCATTGGTCTGGTCTGTGTGAATATATAGGAAGGTACTCAGGGTGAACGGCGGCAGTTACCAAAGAAATAGCTGTTTGTCAGGTGCTGTCTTACCTTTTCCATGTTTCTTTCTTTCTTTCTTTCTTTCTTTCTTTCTTTCTTTCTTTCTTTCTTTCTCTTTCTTTCTTTCTTTCTCTCTCCCTCTCTCTCTTACTTTCTGCTGTAGATGTGCAAGGAGCTGGGAATAGAAAGAGAGAGAGCATGGCTTTTCCCCTCTCCTGCACATTGCTGTGTTATTCTAGATGTGCAGCAGGCCAGATCCCTGTTATAAGGAATGGAAGCACAATGAGCATAATGGCCAGGCATAGAGCTCTGATGTTACCCACACATTCTTTCCACGTCTTCAACATTGAATCGTAATATCTGGCAGAAAAGTTAAGGAAGGTTCATTTCTAGTCTGAAAAGGGTCTTCTGTGATTTTCATGTTCTGTTCATCAGGAGGGCTTGCAAAGTAGGAGGGGTGGTGTGGGCCAGCCAGGCTTCCCCATTCCTTGCGGGCTACAAAAAAAGGGGAGTTAAATGAGCAGGGCTGTTGTGCTAGAGGTTCTGGACAGAGTTTCAATAATCCCTAAAAGAAAATGATATTTTAAGGAAGGGAGAATATTCTTGCGCTGAAAGCTTTGAGCAAAGGCCACAATAGTTTTAAGGGCTCTGGTTACACATTTTAGTTGCCTGGCTTCTGACCTAGTAAGACTTGAGATTTACTCGTACATAAATGAAAACAATGCATTGTGGCCTCTGTTGCTTTTATTTAAAGGTCTTATTGTTCATCGGTCACAATAAAGGATGAGAATTCGCTCAGCAATTAACACGATGCAACTTGTTCAAATAAAGTGTCATTAAAAATAATAGCTGCCTTAGCTTTCTGTGTGAAGGCAGCCTCTGGGCTGCAGCCCGCACAGCATTGGAAAAAGGCTGGCTTGATTTAATGCTCTCATAGCTAGTCTCTCAAGAGGGCTTAATTTAAACCTTCATGTTGGAAAGTGTTTGAGGGGGTAGAATATCAGTTAAAAAGTCAAAATGGTGGCTGCCTTGTTACCCATCTGTGCTACAACATTAAGGAAGTGGGATTTCAGTCATGCAATGGCAGCAGCTGTATTTTTTTTTAATTTTTGACCCCCTGAATACTCTGCCATTCTAGAATCCAAAGTTTGTTTTGCTCTTTTTTGGAGGGGAGGGAGGGGCACAGGATGCCTAGAAGGGGCGTGATTAGGATCTACCTTTATTCTTTCTGTAGTATCGGTATATATATTTTTCTTGCACCAATTTTGATCTTATTTGGTACATGATTTATTTTATGCTCGAGTTAGAACTGGAATGTGTAACTGATACTGTGCCCCGTAGATCATCCTATTGCGATGCTTCTCAACTTTGGCAACTTTAAATGTGTGTCCTTCAGTTTCCAGAATGCGTGACTGGCTGGGGAATTCTGGGAAACGAAGCCCACACATCTTTCACAAGCTTGCATCATTTGTAGTAAATGCTATTTGATCAACTGAATAATTTGGCTTTATTTTATTTTGCCGTTAATATAGTTGCTACATATTTATAACGGTGGAAGCACCAGAAGTTTTGAAAGTTTTGTCTTGAACAGATTCTTTATTCACTTCGATTGGGGAAAAAAGGCTCAAATAGGCTCAAATAGTTTAGCTGTGTAGATGGGTTGACTTAACAGGTTCAGAGACCGGTTGATATTTTTTTTTTAAGACCATAGTTTAGTAGACCATTATCTTGATGATTGCAAATTAAATAAATACACCATCTGATGAAACTTGCTTCCTTTTAATTTTCATTTACTGGAAGCCTTCATAGACTTATGAAATGGGGGTTTGCCTTGATCTAGTAAACTAGTCAATATTATTCGAAAATTGTATGTTCTTCAATTAGCTACTGTGTGATCACATTTGTACTGCTGATTTAACTTTTTAAAAAAATGAATCAAAAAGCGTGTACAATAGTTCTACGACAATGTCACTACTGGCCATCATGTCAGATAAATGGTGAGCGTATAAAGTGGTTATTTTCCAGCTTTTTATCAAATCAGTAAGCTGTGAAATAGTGCATCAAACGTCCATGTTTTTGTTGCTACTGTGCTAAAATAATAAAAGCAGTGTGTAAATTTATATGTTGCTTTTGAATTCTCTAGTGCACTAATGTATGATGAAACTAAATAAATGTTATTCTGGGGTTGTTTTCAAATGTCCTCTTTGGAAATTGAAGTCATATGTGCCCATCTTAGAAAATAAAGGGTTGAAGCCTAAGCAAACAATTTTCAAATTCAAATGTTTAGTTTTTAAGGTACTTTATATGATTGGCCGACAAGAGAGACTGTCCTGGTCAAAATAGGGAGTTAGCTGCAGCCAATAACAAAACCCTTTAAACAAACAAAAGATGCTTGTTGCATCTCTCTCCAGATTTTTACCATATTTTTTTCCCTAGTAAGCAGAGTACACATCCAAAATCCTGATTTTTGACCCTATAAACATCTATAGCCCTAGTGTTTTATTTGTATTTGTTAAATATATATGCCACCTATCTCACTGATAAAGTGATGGTGGGGGTTGATGGCAAGATATTTCACTTTATAGAGTATCCAATTCCTTAATTTAATTTCTGGGAACATAAATTGAAACTTACAATGAGGAAAACCAATCACGAAGTCTCCATAGGCTATGAATACTCATGAGCAGAAAATGTATCATAAACAATGAGGAGCCAGATAGTTAAAATTAATCCAATCAGACGTGCAGAAGTCAGCAATACCTGCTCCGTTTTACAATGTCAAAAAGGCCTTTCTTTAAGAAAGGGAGGATGGCTGCAATACAATAGTAAATGCTTAATTTTCATCCACTGAACTCCTTAAATACTGATGTCTATAGAAGAAATTGATGGAGTCATTCAGACTGAAAATGTTAACATCTCTGCAGTTTTGATTTGCTAATTTATAATTAACAATCGAATATAAGCAATATCAACCTTGTAAATGTATGATCTTTGTTAGGATGGAACACATTTCATATGCACAATCGCGTAAACATGTTAAAAATAGGATTTAAAATCAAGAGTACAGGAGGAAAAAGCAGAACTTGTATTCCCAAAATACAAATGAGAACCAGGTCTAGGAAGAATCAAATTTAACTTATTTTTGACCACTACCTGCTATCAACTAGCACAGTACTGCACAATGAGTATTAAATATATATATTTCAAAGGCATTTAATGCAAATTTAGGGAAAGAACATTGAAAAAGTTTTAAAGTACACAGTACAAATTCAGGTAAACATTTAAAATTTATTAAACTTTTTGATCAAAATAATAGAACAATTATATACAAACCCATTGTATTTGTTTTGCAGGAAGGGAGGGAGGGAACAAAGTCAATCCAAGGGTTAAGTGACCGATCGGTTCCACATTTCAAGATTTGCAAATAGTGTCACAACTGATATACAGTATATGATTTTTATTTTCAGATCCACCCAATTGGTGTTAGATTCTGAGGATGAGTGGCACTCCGTGAACATTGACAGGATAAGATCAGAGACACATTCCTCTTGCCTACTCATACTTTTAATAATCATATTAAACCTTCATTTAATTTAGAGCTTTAACAAATCACCCTATCTTATCTCCAGGAAGCTCAAAGGGCCTGCATTTTAAGGGGGATTTCATAGGCACATTCATCCGTTAACTTTACAGAAAGTGGAAGATAAGTCATCTATCAAAACTGTGCCCACTGCTATTTCTTAGTTTTACTCCCAGAGATGTTTACGGTGAAATACTGGGAGTTATTCCTACTTCTATGGAAAAACATATCATCAAAGAGATGCATTTTTCTTTGCCCCCATTCCTAGTGGAAATTTAGCATTGTATAAATACATTTCCACATCAGCCTTCAGACAGCCAGGTGTCGGTCTCCTGGTGTCACAGGCCCAGATTAAGAGTTGAAATACATCTAAATGTGCTCCTGTTTGGCATAATTAATTTTAATAACATACAAGGTTGAGCTTCAGGGGCAATATGCTTGCATCTGCTTATGCCTAGTTTAGTATTAAAAAAAATCTTCTTGAAAACATTGAACTAGGGTAAAAAAAAATGTAATGCACATTAATGCATGCACATTACCATTAATTGTAAAGCATATTTACTATTAACCAAAAACAATGATTATTGAAAGTTCTGATGTACATGGCCCATTATGTGTTTAAGGCTACATGTAAGTAAAGGGGCTGTTTTTCACATCACCTCTTGTGTGCAGACCGTATATCTTCTTTTAAACATAGAAAAGCAATATACAAACGAGGGTAAAGACGACAGCTGGATACAAATTTCAATTTAGAGTTTGAAGCAGCAGGACACCACCCAAAACTGCTCTTTTTGTATAATAAATATTTTTGAGGGGACAACTTTTCAAATCTTTCCATCGGGTATCTTGCACAATCTCAATACATGCAATAAAAAAGACTGAATACATACTTTCAGATTTAAAAACACTTTTTTTTATAGTTTGTTATTTTTATTAAGTGGTTTACACCAGAAGGTGTGGTTATAGATACAGTTGGTGAGTAAATACACATGAAAAGCCTGTCTACACGCCCGACTCCAGACTTACCTATATGCTCAAAGGTAGAAACACCTAAAGCTTAGATGAAGGCCAGAGAAAGAGCGTTCGCAGGCAGAAAGCACAAATATATGTATGTTCTGAAAGGCCCAAATATTACAGCAGATAAAGAGCGTGTGAGATAGAAATTACATTTTTTATGACAATTTGTTTCTTGGGTGTTAGATTTTTGGTCTATCAACTGGAAAGGAAGGCTCAGACTTAAATAAATACATTTTTTAATAGTGACTTTTATTAAGTATTGTCCATCAATTCTGCTTCCAGTGGGCTTTCCTTGTTTACAAAAACCAATTCCATGTCCCCCCCGTCTCCCCCCTCACTGAAGGCAGAAATACACCACGAACTCAAGTCCAGGCCGGTTTCTCTCCTTTGCCTATAAAGGGGGAATAAGTGCATCCATGTTCTTTACCGGAAGGACAAGAAGGCCGCCTCTGACAGATAAACAACAGAGCTTAACTATTCAAGACGACAACGCTGTCCTCAAATGAGCCGTCTTTAATTAATTTTGTCTTGGAATATATACAAGTTATTGGTTGCAGCTACAGCAATGATGTTCTCCGCTGGGTGCCAGGCTGTGTGGAGGATCTTCTTATTGAAGTCCAGGCTGTCAACACTTATTTCATCTTTCTTTCTTTTGCCCCCCGTACAGACTTTCCGGGGCTTTAAGATCGCTCGAGGTTTGCTACTTTCTCTGGAGGCCTCTAGCGTAAGATCTCTCCGCGTATTCCGATCAAACATCCGAAAGAAGTTGTTATAGGAGCCAGTCATAATGGCACTGCAGGGAAGAAAGAAGAGATGAACCTTTGACTCGGATGGAAACAAGGGCCATGAGGCCCACCTAAATAATCACCCAATTTCAGATAACGGGAACTACAGGACTGACACTTTTAACCTTATTTTGAAACAAGGACTTTTTAAAAAAATATACATACGTAATAGAACTCTTTAAATAGTTAAAGCAATGACCAGAGAATCACAAACAATATACAAGCTAAGAGAAAATAATACATCTTTTATTTCATACTTAATAGCCACTAATTTGCTAATGAATGCACTATAATAATAGCATACATACAAATATTTTATAGAATATCACAAAATCCAGGAATGACAATGAAAATGTGCCTGTCTATTGCAATGGGTTGGACTTTCTTAAGATTGGCTCAATTATTCAGCTAAGCATTAGTGCATCTGCTGTAGAAATGGACTGTTGACTCAAAGATCAGATTTGTAGATTGGTGTTATTCACTCATCATTTGTGTCACCAAATGTACAGCTGAAGTCTGTAAGTCTTTAAATATATACTATCAACATAGCTAATTATGCTAATTACAACTTCTTAAGAGCATTTTATGGGTACAGACCTCAGGATTAGAAAATTAGCAACATTCACCTGTGTTTTGAGATAGAATAAGTTGAGGGTATCCTTCTCCCCCCCCTCAAAATGCAGTTTTGGCTAGCAGGGACCCCTCTTATGACCCCCATGGTCCTAAGTGTAGAATGCCAGTTCCAGGGAGATTTAATGTAAACTGAACTCTCTCTCTCTCAAAATCAGCTCTTTTGTCATACTGCTGTAATCTTTAAACATTCCGCTCTTGTTTTTAAAGGATATTCAATTTTATGCCTGTTTTTTCTTCAGTTTAAAATGGATTTTATGCAATTACCTAGATGCTGTCAATCCTTAATATATCACTGCCATATTTCCTGCTGTCTTCAATTTATAGGCCATTTTACATGACAGCATTTATTCAATGCATTCCATTTTAAACACCTTATTCTAGATACATTTAATGCCTCAACACCCAAACTGGCACTATAAAAATGCCACAGTAGACCATTAGATAACTGGCATGATTTCTCAGATCTGTTTTATAAAGAAAAATAACGATAAGCCTTTAAAGGGATTCTGGACATTATTTTAGTTTTTTAAGACCTACCACCATCCATTCAAAATGAAGATTAGATGACTGTAATGTCGACTCCGGACTCTTTGGCCTACATTATCAAAAAATGCTGTCATGTAAAATGGCCTATAAACTGAAGACAGCAGGAAATATGGCAGTGATATATTACGGATTGACAGCATCTAGGTAATTGCATAAAATCTATTTTAAACTGAAGAAAACACAGGCATAAAATTGAATATCCTTTAAATATCCTTCATAGGGCTTCCAGCCCTCTCTAAGCAGTTTACAGAGTCAGCATATCGTCCCCCACAGTCTGGGTCCTCATTTCACCCACCTCGGAAGGATGGAAGGCTGAGTCAACCTTGAGCCGCTGAGATTAGAACCGCTGAACTGCAGATAACAGTCAGCTGAAGTGGCCTTCAGTACTGCACCCTAACCACTGCGCCACCTCGGCTCCTCCAAATTCAAAGGGTGAATTCAGATCCAATCAAATGGTATGAAAATTTCAAAGTGGATCATAGTTATGAATACACATCTGGGGGCACCTTTATTAATCTATTATGCCTGCTACCACCTGTCACCATTTAGCGGCAGAGGAGGGTTTGCAAATGTTGGCCTTTTCAACCGACTAGCAAATTCTGGATAATCCACTATGATACTGCAAATATGTTAAAGTGAACCGTACCTCTTTATTTTTGCCGCAGTTAAGACAATATCGCCATTTTCAATATTCAGGAAAACTTTTCAATTATATAAAGCAGACCTACCTATCCGAACCATTCCAGCAGCATTCAAATTTGTCAAAGATGCAGTCATTCTCATACAGCGAACAGAGTTTGCTCCGGAGATATTCATGAACCTTAAAATATACAAGTGCAGAAGAGTGTGAGAGGGTTTTCCACTGCAGAGGGCCTGTTTCCCCTTTTTTGAAAGCATGAAGACTATACCTGATAGGTCTCTACTGGCCTGTTTTCCATATTTAGATCCCACACTTTAACTGAGAGGTAGTCTCGGGTCATCATGTATCGACCACTGTGACTGAATTTTACATCAGATATTGAAGATATTATTTCTGAAAAGAATGATCTGCTGCTGGGATCTTCAGGCTCCTCAAAGACTGAGAATTACAAGATAGGATGAAAACGGTTAATAATTATGTAGATGAACATTGTTACCTTTTCAATAAATTTAACCTTAGCTAAAGCAGCTACAGGTAGTCCTTGACTTACAATAGTTCACTTAGCGTCCGTTCATTGTTACCGTTGAACGGTTACTGTTCAAGGTAACTGTTTTTCAGAGTTACGACCTTTGCAGCTTCCCCATGGTCAGGTGATCAAAATTCAGATGTTTGGCAACTGCTTCATATTTATGACTCTTGTAGTGTCCCAAGGTCATGCGATCCCCTTTTGTGACCTACTGACAAGCAAAGTCAATGGGAAAGCCAGATTCGCTTAACAACCGGATTACTAACTTAACAACCGCAGTGATTCATTTAACAACCGTGCCAAGAAAAGTCGTAAACAGGGCAAACCTCACTTAACAAATGTGTCATTCAACAACATACATTTTGGATTCAATTGTGGTCATAAGTCGAGGACTACCTGTATTTCCGGACAGTATGCCTTGAGAGTTACTGAAATAGAGCTTGAAAGCCCAGAGTAGCTTCACAATGAGATCGGTGGCATATACGTTTAATAAATTAAAGAAATGTCTCTTCTCTTGCCTGTTAAGAATGGGTACCAAGGTGACTTTGGATGCACATATACACATATACACGTTGCTCTACATTAATATTCCTTAAATATTAGGTCCTAAGATCCTGGGGGTACCTCAAGACTCTCTCTGGGCTTCATGAAATGAATATTAATTACTAACTTAAGTGGGAACATAATACAATATGGAAATCCCGTCAAATCATTGTGAGAAGTGGCAGCAGCAACCGTGTCAATTTTAACTTTTAATATAATATATATAGAGAAAAATGTAACCTGTAGAAACAAAACCTCTTTTGTATCCACCATAATTTTTTAAAGTGGCCAAGAGTCCTAAGATAAAAAGATTTTAAGGAACTCAGCTCTACAGTGGCGGCCCCCAACCTTTCTGCCTTCTCTGACAGAGGGGCGGGGGAAAGAGGTTCTGTTGTGCATGTGCAAACGGAGCTTAATGAGTGCCCCCTGCCCACGAAAGTGGTGCTACACACACACACACACACACTCACCCGCCACTTGCACGGCCTCTGGTTTTGAACAAGCCACAGCCTTGGGGGGGGGGGGGGCTTGCTCTATGGGTTGCTCTCTATCATAACAAGTTGACTGGCATAACCTCTGAGTAGGATGGCACTCTTCTTCCAAATCTGTGTTTTCTAACAATGTATATTAAGACCAGAAAAAATACTTCAAAGATAAAAGATCTGATTATCTGCAATGTTCCAGTTTCTTGTTTATTGATTTTATTAACCTAAAACCACCAAGCCAACCAACTTGGAGGGGGCTCTGCAGGGACCACAGCAGGCGCTTATGAAGAACTATTTCTGCTCAACAAAAGTAAAGAAATGGAAGTTTTAACTTTCTCCTTGCTAACGCAGCTTAACTTCCGAGTTTTATCAGCATTTCCTTAGTCATACAGAAATAATGTTGCTTTTGCTAATTTCCGCTGATCTTCAATTTATAAACTTTATATTTAAATATTCAACAAACAATATTCTCCCCAATCAATGGCTTCAGGCTCTTGAACAATGTAAAACTAATCAGCAGTAAAACACATTTCACCAAATATAAATACAAAACAGTGATATTATTTTTTTTCTTTTAAATTGTTGTTTGCCACCCTAAATCACAAGGTTGAGGTGGTAGCCATATAAATAGAAACAGAAATAAAGGACAGGTCTAAATAGATGGGATAAAATTATAAATTTTAAGTCCCCTTCTAAACTGGAAAAGGGCTTACATTTAATTTAAAATGTTGTTCCATATCATAATTCCCCATGATTTTGAAAACTAACAGTTCTTGATATTAAACATATTACAAGATGGGATCTGCAAGAATTCCTCTGCTAACAATCTAATAGCTCAGGGTTATAGTTTATGGGAAGGAAAATTCTATCAATCAGTGTACAAAAGTCTTTGTACAGTGTAAGCATCTTGGACCTGAAAATCAACTAGTGCAATCAGGGAAACTGCATAAAACCCTAAGAGCTCCTCCTGTTTGCTCACATCATTTATTCTGAAACAGTTGTAATCAGAAAACAAATTATTTTCAAAACGTGAGCTCCTAAACGTTTTAAGTGGTAAAGTCCTATTAAAAATGATCAAGGTATAATCATGAAATATTTTATTTCTGGAAACTACATTGAACCACAGGTTGAGGAGAAGTCTAGCTTTCTATTTATTTATTTATGAAAGCAGTCATGTCAGGCTTTCATAAGCAGAGTTATCTAGTAATAAGAAAAGAGTTTAAAAGGCTTGGAGATACTACCTGGCAAACCAATCCAATAAGGTGGAGGAAAGAGAACCTTTCCCGGAGGATCCTCCACTTCCTGAGTTCTGCTGTGCTCATGCCAGCTAGGGCAGAAGAGAGGGTTGCAGCTTTTACCTTTGTAAAAATATTATCTCGCCAATTGGTCTTTTTTATTTAATTTTAAAAAACCCGCCTCTTCCCATTACATTCCCCAAGGGAAAGCAAGTAATGACGTCAGCTCCAGGGGCTGATAAAGAGTTCCCCATTCACTCCAGAAGTATGCCTGGAAAATGTAGGGAATTTGGATCACAATGGGATCCAAAGCCTTCCCCAGCCCAGCCCTAACACTCCCCCGGAACCTACGGCAGAAGCAGCCATGACAGGTCAATGGAAGGTTAGTGCAAAATCTCCCTTTACCCATCCATGAAACCACGGAATTTGGCCTAAATCATCCCAAAGATAGAGAACCTTTTCTAATTTCTCAGGCTGTTCACGTGTCAAATAATTTTACATCGTAATTGTTAACAGCTTTGTAATTTAATTTGCATTTTATTCCTAGCCACTTTGAGTACTGTTCCTGGGGGGGGGGGGGGAGATGAATGCATATTAAGCTACTTCATGGTTCTATATTTGTACAAGCTTCTCAGGAGCCTATTTCCATTTTTTAAATGGCACCAGATTAGGAGCAACAATACTTACTATGCATAAGCATTAAGCTGGGGAAAAAAAAGTCCAACCTCAAAACTAATGGCTATCACAATTATTTTTTCTCTCAATATCTAACTACAAATTGCAACAGAGTATTAGCATTTCTCAAACGTAACTACAATTACAGCTTTAACAATTGAATTCTTTTAAAAAATATATTAGGGGGAGTTCCAATTGAATATTTTTTTTAAAAAAATTAGCAGACTCAAAACTAAGACCATGACCTTGAGACAACCCTTCAGAATGTGGGATGTTTGAGTTTAGAAATGTTTACATACTATTTCAAATCCAACACATTAAAAAAACAGATTTGTAATAGATGGTTTTGTTCTGTCAACATAAATTATAGTCATTATTAACAGAGATTATGTTCTACCAACCCAACTGATGTAGCAAAAATATACTGAAACTTCTTAAAAGTTTTTCTTTAAAAAAAACCAATTAGTTAAGATAGGATTGCCAAAAATCGAGCAGCTATATTTTATAAATGGGCAAACTAAATTATATTAGTTACGTCTCACACCTTATCCTTGCTTAAGAACTATCTAAAACACGGGTGTCAAACTCACCGTGTCACATCACTGTCACGTGACATTTTGCAACGTTTTCCCCATTTGCTGAGCTGGGGTGGGTGTGGCCTGCATGTGATACGTCCGGCCTGTGGGCCGCCAGTTTGACACCCCTGATCTAAAACAATAGGTTGATTTTCTATTCTTTAAAATGCAATTCTTTCACCGTAGGAATGATATTGAAAAGTCCTTTACTGGCAATTTGTTTAGTACTTATTCACAAGAATGAACATACCCATTTCCGAATGTGCTTTGTAAAGCCTAACTACTTACATTTTGAATGCCTATCACAAAGGGCAGAAGAACGCATGTCACAGAGCCGAATAGTTCCTTTGCTACTGCTGTAGACAAACACGTTGCAATGATGAGGATGAAATTCTGCTGCAGTTATCACCTCTGTTAATTCCTCCATATTAGCAGGCTTTATGTCTACGATATCTGAAAGTTGCTCGTAAAGGTTAATACCGATTTGGTTATCCCCAAAAATCCAACTTTATACAGGAGAAATGTTACAAAATCTTTCAGAACCTTTATCTGTGGCATTTAATGGTTTCTAAAACAGTCACTTAAATTTCAGAACAGCTTTATGAAAACGTTTACCATTTATTGACATAATTTTAACTATTTAGCATTTCAGATATGTAGGATTCAAGAACATAACAAAACTATGGTGTGTTCTGTAATTTCACTTTCGCTGTACAATTACGTTAGATGAAGTTAGCACTTTATATGAGGCTTCTAATTTATGAACAAGCCAGCAGGCACTGTACATTCAAGGGGTCAGAGGAATTCATACTATCTATGAATGTAGTCAAGCCATTGAATTAACACATTCAAAGAGTCCTGATTATGTGCTGTCAGTCAGTATTGACTCCATTAGCAATCACAAAGAAAGACTAATTTCACCACAATGTCTCTCTAATCTGGTCCTTCAGGTCTTCCTGGTCCTTCCACTTGTTGCTACTGTACCTGAGTCCAACCATCTTGCTATTGTCATCCTCTTCTTTCTTCTTCCAACATTAGAACCTTCTCAGAAAGACTTGGCATGATATGGTCAAAGGATGATTCAATTCTGGCCATGTGTGTCATGTTCAAGGGAGAACTCAAGATTGATTAGTTTGATGATCCATGTTTTCTTCGCTCTCTGTGGCATCCATATGAGTCTTCTCCAAATTCCATAACTATGAATAACCTTTGTCTTCAAAGTCCAACTTTAGTTTCCCTAGTGTCACAGGAAAACCTGCACAATTCTGATCTTTGTTAAGTATAAAACATCACATCATCTGAATAACTTTTCCAAGGCCTTCACGGTTGCTATATCAAGTTCTAGTTAGTGGCCCAATCCTTCATGTTTTCCTTTACAAATAACCCCAAAAGGCAGAAGATTCCTAACATTTTGGTATCTTCATTGTCAACTGTAAGGTTAGTTTTTGTAGCCACTGTCAAGTTTGGTCTTCTTTATATTTAATTTTAGTCCCATCTTTTTCATTAAATTCCTGGACATTACTAGAACTTGTAGGTCCTTTGCATTTTCGGCTATCAGAGGAGGACATAAGCACAAGGCAGGCTACTGATGTTTCTTTCTCCAATTTTAAAACCACCGTGTTCTTTTAATCTTCTTTTAATTCAAATTTCTTCAATGGACGGTCAGCCTAAAGGCTGAAAAGATCAGGGGAAAGTATATAGCCTTGTTTCACTCCTTTGCCAAACCTCAAGCTGTTTCAGCATGCTCGGTTCATAGTTTTTTCAGGAGGACCATAAGATCTCCCAAGATTTCCATTCTTCTAAGCACATCCCACAGCTTGACATGACTGATACAACGGAAGGCTTTCTAAAACCAATGAGGCAAATACTGACTTCTCATTGGTATTCTTTGGCTTTTCCAGTGATCCAGTGTGCATCAGCTGTGAAGAAACGCAATACACCCAGTGAAGTCAATAAGAATTGTCACTTTTCTTGCCAGGGTCATGAAAAAGATATGCCTTTTAGGATGTACTTCAATTTTCTGCTCTAGTCTACGGATCCGGATTCTTTGGTGGTCTAACTTAAGTTAAATTCTAACCAGTTCTACTCAGATCAGTCAGGTGCTGCCATCTACTGAGACTTAACCAAGTATTAAACAGTAACTATTTCACTCTACTATATATTTATACATTTTTTTCTTACATAAAAAGGATACTAAAACTTCTATCTGTGATTTCTAAATGCCACAGGTTGATTCTTAGGTCATCTGCAGAAAGGTATGTTTCATGATCACTATTGACTGAAATAGAGTTTATGTGATATGTGTGTGCATTTGCAAATATCCTTCGGGGACTTGCTTCTACCATGAGATCCATGGGTTTCAATATTGGCACCTAAAAATTGAGAAAAAGATATTAATTTAAAACTTCAAATTAGTCTGATAGCATTTAAAGCACTTTTTTCAAAAACCATTTAAAAAGTTTTAATTACAAGGTAGCTTGCTCAAACTGCACAGTCTATGTCCCCATGGAAATAAATTCAATGGAATTACTTCAAGGGAAGTGAGTATCCAATTTTAACCTGGGTTATGATTACAAAGGTGATACTGCCACAAACTACTGCTGCCTTATTCATATTATAATTGTTATATTTTTTTTGGGGGGGGGAATTCTGGTTACCTGGTATAACACTGAGTTCTAGTAGCAAATGCTATCATTCTAGAGAAGTTTCAGAATAAAATGCCTCACGTTAACCTTTTATTAACAAATAACAAGTGTCTGAAGTATCAATAGCATTTAGAAAGAAGCAAGCATGCTAACACACTCTGCTAAAAAGTGTATCTGCTTGTTGTGATTTTTAAAAATTATAAAGATAACTGTGTAATTACATTAATATGCTTTGTAAAACTGCATCATCTGGGCTTTTCACGTGCTCAACATCTAGCATCCAACTTGGTGTAATATTACAAGTGTCATCATCTCAAAAACATTGTGGGATATAATAAATAGAAGACAATCCTGAATTTAAGATGATCTACCTCACTATCTCCTTGTTGCAAAGTTTGACACTCCTGCTTTACCTTGTCAGGGAATCCCAGACATCCCTATCACTTTACAGGTAAATTATTGGGGTGGGGTGGGGGTGACAGAGCTATTTCAGATAGAGACCATATAAGAATATATCCTGCCAATGAAAGGCACCCAGAATCACCTTATGGGTGAGATGGGCTTCATAAAATAGGGAGGGAGGGAAGGAAGGAACTATCCTGCAAAAAGTATAGTGATAGCTTACTGCTTTATGGTTGAAAAATTAGCTAACACAGTAAAAATCTTCCAAAATAATTACATTAACTGACATACACTACTCACAACTAAAATGAAACTTAACTTTCATATAGCATTTAAATGTTCTGCATCAAGCAAATGATGTTATTCAATATAGAAGATCAATTATTTCAAATTCTGTTTTTCTTTAGTCTTTTTATGCAGCAGGACAGTGAATTTCAGAAGCTCTACATTAAAGGAATATAGAAAAACAAAATCAGACCAGGGTGTATGTATGTAATACAGGGATTGGGGGACAGATAAGGCAATAATGAGAAGCTAGGTTTTTTCTTCTCCTCCTAGACTCAGAGAGGGGATGGTGGAATTTTCTTTTTCAACTATTAAATCTGATTTAGGATTTATGCTTTCATTTGTTTTCCACCCAAAGGAACAGAACTGCTGCCAATTTCTACCTGTGGTTGGAAAGGGCCATATGATAGGATTTAAGGGTCAAGTGTAGCTCAGAGAGCTTAAAATGCCTATGGCTGATTTTCTTGATAATGATTCTCCAAACAGCAGCTTTCTTACTTTTATGTTTGTGGGCACTGATTCTGTGACCATTTACAATATATTAAGAAAAAGCTGCCACAGAAATAAATTAAAAAAAATGTATTTTAGCACCGTAGCTCAGAAATGAATATTTCATGGCTTAAATGCAACATGACAGGTTCGGACATTATTCAGATTTTATTACTAATGCTAAAGAAATACCCGTAGCGCTGTGATTCTAAATGGATCCCGAAGTCGTCCATCTTCATCTTTCAAGTTATAACCTTCAGCTCTTTTATCCCTTTCACTGATTTTCCATAATTTAATAGTTTTATCTGAAAGGAGAAAGATTTCAAGCTAATAATACATTACTAAAAATATCTCTTCTTACAAATAACACAGTATTTTGCAATCTGGAGCAAGTGCCTCTTCCCCAAATTTAGGGGCGAGATGTTTCCTTTTCTGCAGGACTGCCACATATGCTTTGCCCTCTTTGAGAACTTGGGGGGGGGGTGTTGGTGGTGTTGGGCAGGGCTTTCTATTGCAAACCTGAGTGTATTTTAGATTTTATAAAAATAGAGGACATTGAAGCTTTGCTTACAATCTGTGCATAACTGTATTTCAACAGTGATTAATCATACTTTTGCAAGCACATAAGTTTATAGCTATAGCTATATAGATTTATAGGTATAGCTATAGAGGTTGTTTATTTGAGGAGTGAAATCTGTAACTCTGCTTTTGTCCAAGATTATTGCATACGATATTGGCTAAATAAAATAACTAAACAGTTTAGTTTGATAAATTAGATAGGGATTGGCAACATACATACAATTTCAAATGCAGCAGGGACAAACGATTCCTGGAAAACAGGGCTATCAATAGGCACTAATCTCTGCACAAACAATGTAACTTAAAGGACAGCTGCCAGAGAACAACAGGGGAAAAGGACTTCAGGTAATCCTCGACTTTTTACCATTTGCTGGCCTGTGATGCATTATTTCATTCAATTGAAGATTATAGACAAAAGAGAGCTTTACGCAGACAGGAATAGTATACACCAGTGACAGCAAACTGTTAGAAGCTTCACAAAGCCAGGTGGGTTCCTGGCTGCACTAGGAATGGAAATTAAATTGATGAACTGGCAACCACAAACAACAGAAAGATGTCAGGGGTTCCAGAATAAGTTGTAAGTGATGTGCAGCTAGAATCTCCAGTACCACGCCAATTAAATGATAACAATTCTGCAATAGCAATAGCAGTTAGACTTATATACTGCTTCATAGGGCTTTCAGCCCCCTCTCTAAGCGGTTTACAGAGTCAGCATATCGCCCCCAACAACAATCTGGGTCCTCATTTCACCCACCTCGGAAGGATGGAAGGCTGAGTCAACCCTGAGCCGGTGAGATTTGAACCGCTGAACTGCAGAACTAGCAGTCAGCTGAAGTAGCCTGCAGTGCTGCACTCTAACCACTGCGCCACCTCAGCTCTCTCATAGTATAAGGTGAAGAATTTTGATGCAACAGAGAAGCACAAAACAGCAGTGGTTGTAAACATGAAACAGAATCATCGTACAAAAGAGGATTGGAACCAAGAAGCATCAGAGAAGCCATAGGAGCATTAGAGCAAGTTACAAGTGGAGTACATGGCCTACTCCACCTCAGACTGGGCTGCTCCAGTAACAGCAGTATGAGAAGAATGTTAGCATCAGTCAACGGTGCTGATATAAGGTGAAGAGAAGAGGGCAAGTCATGGTCAAGGGACTGAGTGACACAACCACCCCAACTCTCTGGCTCCCTCCCCCCACTGTAGGTATGGCTGCAGGTGGCACAAACTGGACTCTCTAGCACCATACAAAATCAGGAAGCCAGAGGTGAGGCCGTGGTAAGCCCTGCCCTCACAAAGACTTTTTCTTTGCACCTAAACTTTATGGATGGAGGGGTATTAGATTACAAAAAACATAAATAATAAAGGTTTGGTCAAACTCATCTTCTCTCCTGCAGTACTCAAATGACGATAAAAATATACTAGCAGCTATAAAGAATGCTTTGGTTTGTGTTATTTGTAGAAGCATGCACTCCATTAATGCTGTCATGCTTTGTTAGAACGCAGAGGTTTTTTTTAAAGATATGCTTGTAATCTGTTTTACACGTGAGGCAGATGGTTTTAGATTTCCTTAATGATTTTGTACGCCATGACTTTTTCTGTGAAACGTATCAATGGGTTTCCTCGTGAGGTGTTTCCTTAGGTGTGGATTTGGGAATAAAGAAAACTTACAGACTTGTGCTCTTCTACTACCAAATATCTGATTTAGCAAATTTCAAATTTAGATATTCCCTTCTGCTTTTGCTGAGGCGATGCTATTTGGTATGGAAATGAAACTGTTACCAGGGACAATGGGCTTCTGAGAAAAAGAATAAAATAGATTAGCTTGAAGTAAGTTTTTTAGTTGCTCTCTTTCAAATTCCATGGCTTGGGAAGGGCACAAAACCAAAACAAGGTAGCCATCAGAACAATTTAAGCACATGTGGAAATTTGACTGGGAGCAAGAGACTTCATGAACCACTAAGGAGAAAAAATAAAAGCCAGCAATCAAGAACAGCCCACAAAGGAATATGGTAACGACTAATATGGAAGTTATCATATGCAATTAAAGTATCTAGAACACTATTATGTAAATAGAATATATTTACCATTTGTAGATAATAAGAAGTGAGCAGCATTCTGTTGTGGCAACCACCTAATTTTATTAATTTTTTCCTCAATTTCTAGACTTTTCAAGTAGTCAAACTCAGGTTCATGACTCTGAAAGGTACTGTAAACATTATATTCTCCCCTCGAATGAGGACGGCTTTTATTCTGCAAGGAAAGAAGTGTATGAACGTAAAAAAAGCATACATTCTAATGAATTAAAACATTCTAATGAATCAGATGGAAGAAAACCTCTAATTCTTAATTTCCATGTTATAAATAGATAAATTGGGGACGGGGAACTGAAGCTTTTCTAGTTATAACAATATCACCACAGTCTGTAGTGATTGCAAATACTGTCAAAACAATATTTCAGCAGCACATCTGGATGACCACATATTTTTTTATCCTGTAATAAAGATGTATCTTGAATGTTACTGCACACCTCTGGCTCCAGTGATGTGCAAAGGAAAGTTTTCTTGTATGACATAGAGGCAAAGGCAAATGCACACGTAATAACTGTCACAATCATATGACATTATAGAAAACCACTGTGCATGCTTATTCTTTATAACGTTTCTTGCAACATATGGCATTATAGGAAGTCTATGTGCATGCTTATTCTTTAATATATTTTAATTACTCTATTATTCCCAGTCTTCTATTTGCAAATAAACACAAATTCTATGTATGCAATACGTGTTTAAAAAGAATAATCTGAAAAAAATATATGTATAAACTATATCCATAGAAAAAATGTTACTGGTTTGCCTAGTTCATTATCAAGTTAAATTTTAAATAAAAATACCTTTAAAATTCTTAAAGATATGTGTCAGCATAAACAATGACATTTGATTATGATGTAACATCTTTACATTATAGAAGTTTGAAACACCACTTTTTCACTGACCTCTGGTTCCCTTTGAAATATAACCACTCTGCCACCTTTGTCTCCTGTTGCCAGAAGATCTCCAGAGTAACTAAATTCAACCGTTGAGATAATATCAGCTGTAAAAATAAAATATAGATCATTTTATAATTGAGGACAAACTAATATATCATAACCTTTCTACATTGTTTTGAAAGAAAATCAATGATTTTCTTAACTTTTTTCAAACTCTGATTTTCTTGTTATTCCAGTCCCTTGTCATAGACAGACTTCTTGGTGACTCTGGAGTTTCTATGTTCTCTACATTCATCTTTAGTCAGTGCCAATTGGGGTTAAATATTTTTGGTCAATGAGTTTTACTGCTGTAGCCTAATAGCTGCCTTTGTAGGTTTTGACAATGGGGCATGCAATATCCAATTCAGTTGCCGTGCGTAGCGACTTTTAACTGCTCTGTTAAGATGGACAACTTTTAATAACCACAACTGAACAGATCACACAGATCCTACAAAACCACTTTCCGTTTGTGGTTTTTAGAAAGCAGTTCCAACAAAACCGCTTTCATTTTTAGTTGCCCTGAAAAATATGGAGCCACCTGAATTGAATCATACGGGCCGTGCCAGAACTAAGGCAAACCTCTTTAAGTGGAGAATGACAGTAAAGTGACTGTGGTGCTCCAGAACAAACCACAACACACCTAGCTCAAGAATGTCTCCTCAGGAAATGTCAAGGCACCTGGGATGATCTAATTGCTGTCACACCAGAACCAGTTAGATGGCTGACTTCCTTAGATATCCAATTATAACATTTATCCCATTGCAATTCTATGGTGGTTTTATTATAGTTTTATCTTAATTTAATATTTTATCTCCTAGATTGTATTCTTCACATACCTTTATGTATTTATATAATTTATATACCAGTGTTTGCATAACTTCCGCAGATGCCATACACTAAATAAATAAATAAAATTCCCAACTGGATCCTTGCAGTGATTCTAAACACTGAATGCTACAGAAGAATGGATGTAAGGATTAACAGTTTCACTAGAATTGTAATGTTGTTACAACACCGAATGCTTAGAAAAAAATTCTTTAATGTTCGTTGAGAAAGAATTGCAGCAGGAAAGACCTTCATCTACTTAATGCTTTGAGTGTTATAGAGTGAACAAAATGAAAGGGGGGGGGGAACCCACATATACACACGGATGGCAGCATCACAAAGATGCTTAAATTATTTTTATAATTTAGGTAGACAGCACATATCAGATTAAGACAGTGTTTCTCAACCATGGCAATTTTAAATCCTGTGGACTTCAACTCCCAGAATCCCCCAGCCAGCTGTGCTCCTGAATTCTAGGAGTTGAAGTCCACAGGACTTAAAGTCAACAAGATTGAGAAACACTAGATTAAGGGAATTAAAAGAAATGATAATGTAACATTATTTTACCGGTATAAGGGAAAAAAATTAAAAGCACTTACATTTTTTTTCTTGTTTGACTGGTGCTTTGCTTAAATCCTCTAAAATCTTCATGTACAAAGATTTTCAAGGAAAAATAAAACTATTCTCAATTTCTAATCATTCTGCTGTTGCCCTAGCATTTAAGGTTTGTTGATTATTATTAACCCATTATTCTTTAATATTTTTAGCTAAAAGGCTAGTAATATTGGAACTGTCAGTATAACAGTGATCCTATTTATCTAACAGAATATAATAAAGAAATAGGGTGAGAGGTAGAGGAAGGGATTATACACAGAGATTAGATAATGTTCAAGGATTTTATAGTTATGATTTTGCTTCCTGATTGGCCTTGAATTTTTTCCTTCTGCATAGTCAATTTCCACACCTCCTTAATCTATGTTTTATTACCTCTCAGATAAAGTAAGGTCAAAACTAGCATACTCAAAATGCAAAATCTTCTATTTCACAGAAAATGCTATGCTTTATTATCACAAAGAAAAGCACAGCAACAATAAGAAAAGCATTTTCCAATGACAACTCAATCCAGGAAAGACTTAGTATCAAAAATACTGAAATTCTACCTAGACATACTGGATTTGTGAAATAAATGCTTGATTGTTTCAGAAAAACAGCAATGTTAACTGCAGATATAGTTAATAGTTTGCCAAAATTTCTGCCAATCATAAATCATCATGTTGTATCTATAGCAGGGATCTAGACAGCTACTTCTTAGATACACTAAGGTGCTTATATTGAACATAAATAAATAAAAGATAAAAGGATTGCAAGAAAGAAAACCTTTCCCTTCCCCTCCGAGTTTCTATCTTTAGATACCTGACTTTCTTTTAAATAGCAATCAAAACAACCAATACAACACCTGGGTAGCAAAACTTGCGACCATCTCAGAGTTACCTGAATTTTGGCAGCCCAGATAAAGTAGCCTCTTAATTAAGAAGAAAACGATGTCCCTGAGGGGTATCATTATTACAGAACTGTTACCCAGGTTCACCCAGCAAATGGTAAACACATGAAAAGCATTTCTCCATTGGTTCTGTGTTTCGCCTAACAGACTCTCAGATTTGATTCAGATGATGCTATTCGCGTCTTTGCTGCTTCACTAGCTTCAGTTAATGCTTAGCTCTTCCCATTTGACAGACAGCTTATTCAGACACTATTTCTCTTTTCTTACCCATCTTATCCAGGTGTTTAGTTAACAGTATTTATAAATCACCCAGATCCTATGACTCTGGATAACAAACAAACAAACAGCAAAACAAAAGAGAATCAGCATGTCCTATGCCTTAAAAAACCAAAACCAAATTATGTCAAGAAATCAAGAGGCTTATTTTTCTGGGGATGTTTAGACCAATGTTTCCCAATCTTGTCAATTTAAGATCTGTGGACTTTTAACTCCTCCCAGAATTTTCCGCCCCAAATGAGAAATTCTGATTAAGGTTTGAATAGAGCAGAAACACTAACCACAATACACCAGAAACAAAAAAAAAACCACTTCCCGTTTGCTAAGTCATGCTTCCAATCAGTAATTTAACAAACAATCATGTTTTTATATTGTGGCTTATGACCTTAACAGAAACCAACGTTTATTCAGTGACTTTATTCGTATAATATGTAGACAGCCAACCAAATTATAACTTGTTTAGAAAGACAAGAGAAGGAGATGGAGAGAGAGCACTCTCCTTCAGTTTTAACTTCTGTGGACATATTTCTGTAAGTATCCAAACTAATCAGTAAATATGTTGATATATCAAAATTACCTCCATTTTCTTTAACCCCTTTTTAGTGTTAACGGTGTATGGCAGGGCTGTCAAACTCAAGGCCTGAGGGCCAGATTCAGCCCGCAGGGTACTTACCAAAACAAACCAAAAACAAAAGGAGAAATGTTTCTCACCCTTTGCATTTGAGCATGCAAGTTCGGACAGGAAAGGAGAAAGGGAAAGACAAAGAAAAAGATGGGAAGACAGCAAGGAAGGAAACATAAGGAAAGGGGGGGAAGGAAGAAGAAAGGAAAATGAGGAGGGAAGGAAAAAGAAGAAAAGGAAGGAAGATCATAATAAGAGGGAGGGAGGATCTGAGGGAAGTCCTGCCTTTGCACTTGATCACCACAGGTGCCCCCGACATGAGTGACGTCGAGCTGGCCATGCCCCTGCAGGTCAAACACAATCCTGATGCAGTCCTCAATGAAACAGAGTTTGACACCCCTGGTGCATGGGTTTTTTGTGGTGAATCATCTAAATATCTGCAACTATCTCTATAATGTTTTTCTTCATCATACTTTTTTTTTGCATCCTCATAGGATAAAGACGGGATACGATTTCTGCCTCCTTGCTCCATATGTGTGGTCTGCATATTAGAAAGACTTCAGGAAGTGAGTGCGTGTGTCCTAGGTTAAAAAGTACTGATCGATCACTCTCCCAATAGAATAAATGATTCGTAAACGAAGGAATGGGAAAAATTGCTAAGAACAGGATAACGCTGGTGAAAGAGCTAAAGCTTAAATCAACTGTCATTAAGACAATTTTCAACTCCTGTATATAACAAACTAGAAAGTTAAAATGAATGGACTACACATTAAAGTCTTAGGCATCTGAAAATTGAAATGGACTTGAATAGGACGCCTTGAAGAAGGTCGCACTAATTATTCCTCAGGGTACAGTAAAAGCAGACCAAACAAACAAAAACCAGAACGTAAAGAAAAAGTGGGAAAAACATCCAATTTACCTTCCCCCTTCTTTCTATCAAATAACTACGATACGATCTTTATCTTTTCCCCATTCTCTTCATTCTTTTAACTTCTAAAACATCCAATTTGATCTATTCTTCTATCAACAAAAATCCAGGTTTCCAGTTTCTCAAAACAGGCTTTGTTTTTTTCTCTAGACCAAATCAGTCAGAGTACAGGCAGTCCTTGACTTACAACAGTTCATTTAGTGACCATTTGAACTTACAACGGAACCAAAAAAGGGACATAATCATTTTTCACACTTAAACTGTTGCACCATCCCCATGGTTACGTGATTTACATTCAGATGCTTGAAAACTGGTTCATATTTATACAATAATACAATAGCAGAGTTGGAAGGGACCTGGGAGGTCTTCTAGTCCAACCCCCCTGCCTAGGCAGGAAACCCTATACCATTTCAGACAAATGGCTATCCAACATCTTCTTAAAGACTTCCAGTGTTGGGGCATTCACAACTTCTGGAGGCAACTTCTGTTCCACTGATTGCTACAGAATAAGAAGAGTTGGAAGGGACCTGGGAGGTCTTCTAGTCCAACCCCCCTGCCTAGGCAGGAAACCCTATACCATTTCAGACAAATGGCTATCCAACATCTTCTTAAAGACTTCCAGTGTTGGGGCATTCACAACTTCTGGAGGCAACTTCTGTTCCACTGATTGCTACAGAATAAGAAGAGTTGGAAGGGACCTGGGAGGTCTTCTAGTCCAACCCCCTGCTCAAGCAGGACAACCTTTGCAATTTCAGATAAGTGGTTGTCC